TGTTAAATCCCATTTTATTCATTCATTCATTGTTTATCTCACAAACTATAGACGAGATGTGTATTCTAAGGTAACCTTACTTCCCGGCATCACCATTAAAACTCCCCATATCTCTATAGAAACTACCTAAGGGAGTATAAATATAAAACCAATAACTGTTTAAGCCATCAATATTCATTAATACGCCGTATGGGAAATCCCCATTGTCCTATTGCTTCCAATTATACACGTTTTACAGATGCAGCACCCTTATCCTATAACTTGCGTATCTCTAAATTATTCTCTCTTAACTGTTTTCTCTAATGTGAACGACACTCATCAGAAATCGATTTCTTTAATTGCCTGTCGCAATTAATTACAGGATTTGTTTTGTCGTTCACATTTGGAACTAGTATATAATGGGCATTTCTTGTCTTGAGCCAAATGTTTGACGTCAGCAATTGACAAACTCTTTAGTATTTCTTTAATGAAATGATTAAGATTACACTGAAGATATATATTTGTCAGGACTGTCTGTCCGTCCACTTGTGTACGCATTGTCAGTTTATTGTTTTAATTCACGGAAACATAGACATAGAAAGAAAACTCATGCCCGAAGTTTTGGTCCCCACCTCCTATTTGAATGCAGAAGGGTGTATCGATTGTCCATGCAGAGGTTGTTCGGTTCGATTTTAAAAACCTTTCAAACTTGCTTGGGATGTATCTCGTGGGTTTTCTATGGGTCCTCCAGTTTCTTCCCACTGCTAAAGACCCTTACGCGCAAGCGAATTATTGAAACAAAATTGAACCATATGTTAGACCCGAAATGACAGTGCCTTGTGGACAATATACCCCATTATCTAAAGACAAAAAGGTTGTTGATTCCTTTTTGACAAAAATTATCGGCTGTCAACACGTTCAATCCTCTTCATAACACACCCATGTAAAGATACAGTCTTCGGTTCCAGGGCAGGTTCTTGTAAAATGATTCATATTCAAACATAATGAAGACCTCGTTATGCGCTTATTATGTAGATTATGGCGAACCCGCGGTGAAATGCAAAAAAAATCCTCAGTCTCAAGAAAGTGCGCGCATAATCGCAGAAGTTTGAGTCTGTTCCATGCTGCCACCACACATAAACCATGCCCATTACGACCTTGCTATGCTCTTACCATGCTTCCGTCACGCTCCACCACTTGCCCCCACACCCTAGCATACGGGGGTGGGGAAGAGGCTGTTGAGGCTGGTGTGGCTTAATCAGCTAGAAAGTGATCTCTCGGTCATCACGTTCCAAAGGCAACTACACTCTATACTCGCACAATTGCCGATATTTGTGACTCGTTTCCATGTTGTCACTACACGTAAACCACGCTCTATACGTCCTCCACGCCCGCACGACACTCAGTCATGTCCCGACAGAGCTCCATGACTTGCAGCCAAGCCCTAGAATACTGGGGGCGGGTGAGATGCTGGGCATGACGTGGTTCGATTGGCAAGAAATTGACTTCTCGGATCATGTTCTAGTCACGACCTCACAGTCTACTAACTACGGTCAGGGCGTAGTGTGGACATGAAATGAATTAACATTTGTCTCTTAATTTGAGAAGGATTTGCGCATGGTGAGTGCGTGGGAAAGTCTTTGTTACATGTACTTGTGAATGAGGCTTTCCGAAAATACAAAGAAACTTAGGAGCGAGTAGTGCCGTCTGATTGGTCGCAGTGAGAGTGTGTGGCCAGGATGCGGTGCGCGCATTGAGATCATGTAAGAACTTGATTGGAGCGTAGTGAACGTAGTGAGCTCCGAGTGAAGTTGTAGCAGTAGTATGATGGGCGCGTGGTTCATTTCATGCCGATCGAGCGAAGCTCATTGAAGCAAGCCCTACGATGCCACTACATTTTCCCCACTCTCACTACGCCTCTCCCCTCCCCACGAATTTGCTACGCGGGTACGGTTATGTTCCACACCGCCTATCTCGTCCTCCACGTTTCTACCATGACCCCACCATGCTCTTACTACTCGCTTTAGGCGTAGCGTACCGGGGTCGTGGTTAACAAAAAATTGAAGTTTTTGTCGATTTAGTTGATAATTTGAACATGCGGACTGTCTTAAATTGGATTTGTCACAAATGTTGATCTGGTTAATGGTTTCTGCAGATATTTGATATTTTTATTGTACAATATTTGCAATAGCCGTCTCATGACTTATCATGTTATTGCACTCAATATTACATTTATGTTGTGCATAATTGAGCATAGAGCTAACAATCATTGGGTGAGTTTAAGATATTTGGAAATGAGTAAGGATTATGATTTCTACACCAATGAAAAAGAATTATGATTTCTACACCAATGAAAAAGAATTACGTGCTCTTCATTTTAAAAAATAAGATTGTTTTGGTTATTTTTGATTTATAACAATTATGTTCTATACCCTGGAAATATACTTTTATTTTGGGGCATGGTACATGGCGTATAGTAATTTATAAAGATGCCGGGTGTGTGAAATGTGTCTATATCGCCCACGAAAAAATGAAACCCTTATTAGACAAAAACTTGGGACTTAATCGCGCTTAATTCTTTTATATATGACCATCAATAGAAATGATCGACTTGGTTCTTCTAAGCATGACCAATCAAAAAGAACTGATCGACTTTTCGTACATGAGTTTTGACATCTCGTGGCCTTTACCTTGAAATCTAGCATTGTGTTAGATAACGATAAGAGGATACTTGTCGAAACGTCGTGCTTTTAGAATAAAACTAGTGATTGTATCCCATAAAAACTGTGTTCTGTTAATATAGCATTGTATGTTACAGGATGGGTGTAAAGAATTCGAAAAGTTATACACTTTAATACAGTGGAGTAATGTGTAATTGTTTGTTGGTCTTGCATTATCTGCCCTTTACCAGCAGAACGTGCCACATGAATCGTTTTGAGATTACTGCGCATAGTCCATATTATATGGGCTTGTAAAAATGTATCGCTGAATGCCCTCCCTACATTTATGTTTAGTTCAAATGTCTTGTGTCACACCAGTCCTATTTTTGTCTTACAAGTTACAAAAATATGTTATTAAAGCTGGATAAAATGCTAAAGATACACAAGAAATTATATTAGAGATTACATTTAACCTTACTAGTCGGAGGATTGACAAAATTACTAATTTCAACATGAAGAGAATTCCAAAATAATTATTTTATGTCCTTTTGGCTATTGAAAGTCTACCATTTCGCTAATTGGTCTCATCAAGTGTCGAGACTTTTGAAATTGCGTGGGCGTATAGATAAATACTTAATTTTCAAGTAAGAAAAGGGAACAAATTATTGGTGTTAAAAGTTATTATACTATTTTAAGTATGTGTACATGTAAGTGATCACAATTTGATCTGTTACAAACGAGTTCAAAACAGAGAGAGAGAGAGAGAGAAAAAAAAAACATGGGGTTTAACGTCCACTCGACACAAACTATTTCATTTCGGGAGTAACTTATGGTTTAATTTTATTTCAATAATTCGCTTGCGCGTAGGGGTCTTTAGCAGTGGGGGGGAAAACCCACGAGGCTGGACAGGCGACCCTACTCCTTGTCACGTACAACCGGGGATTCGAAACCACGCCAGTTGACTCAATGACAGGCCTTGTGATAAAGCACGCACGTGCTAACCATTCGGCCATCCAACCCCCCAGTTCAAAACAGAATCAATAAGATCCCAACAAAGGAAATCACATCACTCTGAAACATATATATCAATATTTAAATATACTTTTATCACATGTTATTCCAATAAATCACCTTTGCGAATAATTCAAGTTTATTTCTGATCTCTTGTGATAACAAGAATATAGATCCAAATCTATTAGGATAATATAAATGTTGTTTATTTAATATTATTTTGGAAATAACTATTTATCTTTTTGATGCAATACTTACATAATACAAATTTCTAAAGTTTAGCCTAAGAAGCGATTCGGAGTACGGTTGTCTTTATCAACGAGTTGGCTAAAATTAGGATTGTTTCCCGCCTAGCAAACGGTACCACTCGTTTCCAATCTCCCATCACCCATTGTATAATAATACTTATATGGTATAGTGTGATGGCATTTAAACCCGCGAGCGACGGTTCTGGTACTAAATTTACTTGGCCAACCTTTGCACATCATTGTGTTTTCCACAACACTTTAAACGCCACAATGTAATTGGTTGAATTGAGGTATTCTGGTGTGCTGTTTGTAATTTTGGTAGATTTAAATAATTACCAATGTGATTAAACACAGATCTTATTTCGTTTAAATTTTATAGTTTAAAATTTCAATTTACTTGTCTTTACTATGAATTGTTATATAACCCGCGTTCTGGGTAATGTGATGGATTAACCGCAATGAGACAGTCTGTTGCAGCGAGTTCTTGGCGTACGATGCACGGAACTGTGGGTATCCTACTAGAAACATCAACGCTGATTGGTTAATCAAATGTCTGACGTCATTGGGATAAAAGCTGCTCGCATGACCCCGAACGCGACCCCCCGCTATAGCTGGTCAGATCTTCATGTAGTAGAGGCCATCGAAAGTATAAAAAAACGAAGCGAAATATAGATCTGTATTTTATTTAGATTAAATTAATTACTTAAATTTTCGACCGACTGTTGAATGACCTGTCATATGTCAAGCAACGACGTAATTTTTTAAAAAGTAGAAATATTAAATTTTAGAAGCAATGGCGATATTTAATACCATAATGAATAAACAAGTTACAAAATAATACTTTCTTTATTAAGAGAATAGATGTTGTATTTTCACATATGTACCTGGTTTTACAGCCTTCATAGCGTGGCACATTATACGGTTAATATGTCCGCCTCTGGCAAGAATTGGTTCTAGAAATAGACTCTTCCTATGTTAGCCAGTGTCTGGGGATGGGGGCCTGTGAATGAAGCAGGTTGTTATATTCGCTTGATAGATCACTGACTAGAATCAGAGATATAGTTGATGTGATTAAGCCACATGAACCCAAGGACGCTGAATGAGTTAACACCATCCCCACTTATACTTGTGTTAACTTTATCTAACGATCATAATGAGAAATCTCGCCAAATCGAAACTTTCTTCAACGTCAATGTGATTTGCACGGCTTGACTAAATCACCACTACGCTATTAAATGCGGTGGGAGCAGTGTTCATTCCAAATGATAATCGTTATCAGATCTCGGTTACACTGAGAGTTACTTTTGATTGACTTAAACAACCCTATCCGGTTATACCGGTTTTGTAAAACGACAGATCATGAATAGATGAAGGTAATCTACAATCTATAACTCAACTTTTGACAAGATGTGTATGTAATACGTCTTAATCTTTTCATATGTAAAATGCAAAGAGGATTTATTTTCAAGGCATAGAATAGCGGCCACGCAAATCTATTTGATGCAGCAATCACCCAATGGTAAGTGTAACTAATTTCTTATTACATTGCAAACGTTATTTAATTTGTAGGAGTTTTAAATCACAAATGTTCCAAGACATAGTAGAAGAAAGAAGTGCAAGCTGATTCTTCTTGGAGTTTTCAAACTATATACATTTACAATGCCACCTTGTTTCTTGCTTTACAAAATGCAAGGGGGCGGGGTTGTTGGCCGAATGGTTTAACGCGTGTGTGTTAGATCATAAGGTCTGTCACTGAGCCAAATTGAGTGGATTCTATTCACTGCTTGTACGCGGATAGGAGTAGACTCGCCTGTCTAACCTCGTGAGTTTTCCCAGGGTCTCCCAAACCAAACAACCTTACGCGCAACGCGCAAGTGAATTATTTAAATACAATCAAACCATATGTTAGTCCCGCAATAATCTAGTTTGTGTTGAATGGACATTAAACTCCATTCCCCGTGCTCTCTTTCTCTAGCTCTTAAATGCATGCTCACAGGAGTGTTCTCGAACGTCTGGTTAATCCACATAGACACCGTTATGCGTTAAAAGCCTCCCATAAAAACCTGTTTTTGTTATTCATTTTTAATATCAATCCATTAGGAGGTGTATTTTTCCAGCTTTTTTGTATTATTTCGTAGTTTATATAGAATAAAATAAATATTTTTTTCATAATTTCGACGAATAGGAACTATTACGGGTCTCCTCTAAGCATTCATTTCTTTCAAAATAGAGCACAGTTGGCAGTCAGCAGAAGAAACTTAGATGTTTTGAACCATTTTGGAGGTAGCATGTTTACCACGAGAAAGGATTCTAAATACCTTCTCACCTGTTACTCTCTCGGACATTTTCTTTAATTTGATCAAAAACATTATATAGAAGTTGTTGTTAGGGGGTTGGGGTCTAGTGGTTTAACGCGTGCGCGTCAAATCACAAGGTTTGTCATTGAGTCAAGTGGCGTTATTTCGATTCCAAGCTTGTACGTGACAAGGGGTGGGGTCGCCTGTCCAACCTCGTCGGTTTTCTCCAGGTCCTCCCGTTTCTTCCCTCTGTTAAAGACCCCTACGCACATGCGAATTTATGAAATAGAATTGAACCATAAATTATGTTAGTCCCGAAATGAATTAGTTTGTGTTAAGTGGACGTTAAACCACATTTCTCTCCCTCTCACTCTGTGTTCTTATTATAAATGCACTTGTCAGTACTGAGTGCGATTTTGCCTCGCAGTCAACATGATCTATCTTCTATCTCGGACAATTTCACAAATTGGATATAATAACATTGTAAATATTATAACTGCACTTGCTAGCACCAAGTCAAGCTGGCTGGAGAGGGAAATTCGTACTTAATTATGTCATCCATGGCCTTTAATCATCTTTCCAAATTCGCTAACAATAAATATTAATCATGTTTGGCAGAATGGACCTTTGATGTGGTTAACTGTATAGCATATCGTATGTTGCATAGAGTGTAGCCTGGTACACAAGTACTGGACAATAGTATTACATGCTGGGCGTACATAATTATTATCAAGCTAAAACTAATTCAGGCAATAGTGTACATTGACTGCCTGCATACTGTTAGTCAATCGTATTTAATAAATTTGTACTCGCTTCGAGAGTCCATACCAAGGATTAAAGTGGATTGAACCAACATATCAGCATATCAGATATCCATTTTTACAATAAAACCATGAATGGCAAAACAATGGATAATTTTAAACCCTAAAAATAATTTTTAAAAAACCCCAACAAAAAACAAAACAAAAGAAAGGTAGATAGAAAATAAGAACATTATGCAAACGACTCATAGATCAGGTATGCAATAACTATGTGCTGCATTGGCTGTCTTGCTCCTGTTAAAGAATACTGAGAATACTCTATACAAATAAGTAAATCAGCGAAGTCGTAATACAGATCTAATAGCCTAAATCAGATCACCTTGTAGCATCATAAACTCTTTGATAATAAACTATATGTACTGAATTGCAATTTTTCTAATAGTAAGGGACGGGGGGGGGGGGGTGGATGGCTGAATGGTTAGCGTGAGCGCGCTGTATCATAAAGTCTGTCATTTAGTCGACTGGCGTGGTTTCGAATCCCCGGTTGTACGTGGCAAGGAGTAGGGTCGCCTGTCCAACCTCGTGGGTTTTCTCCGGGTCCTCCGGTTTCCTCCCACTGCTAAAGACCCCTACGCGCAAGCGAATTATGTAAATAAAATTAAACCATATGTTAGTCCCGAAATGACCTAGTTTGTGTCGAGTGGACGTTAAACCCCATTTCTCTCTCTCTCTCTAATAGTAAGTGCAGGGGGACTGTGCCACACATAATTTACACAAAAACTAATCTACCGAAAAGACACAATACGCAGAAATCACAAACAAACGAACATATCAAATTAAATGAATGGATCCGGGGGCTATCTGTAAGCGTCCACTGCGCTGTACTCTTCCGAGCCTGTAGTGATACAGACTTCACTCAAAATTGAAAACAACACTCAGGAATATAACCCAGAGAAAACCATTGTGTAATACCAGCATGAGTCATGATCTGCTTTATGTCACATGAAATATGAATGTAAACATATTGAAGTAAAAATTACCTATACAAGTAACCATATTATGTATATAAAAAAACCCAAAACAGGTAGTCTAAAACTAAATGTTCTATGTTAAGTGAGAAGCATTTTAAGTATTCAATAGAATTGGGGTAAATTGACTATAAAATTAAGGCATATTTTCCATTTACCACAAAAACAGAGGAAAAACAAAACGATACTGAATACAAAGAAGTAAACTAAGAAAAATGTAAAGCATTTCATCAAAATCTACATACAGTTATGTTTAGAGACAGACTAATCTAGTCATTGTGGCAATATATGCACCGTGGTGAAAGCAACAAACATGTTATTTTAGATTTAAATTCAGTAATTTATTACAAAATCAACATTTAAGAATTTAAAACAACCCTATAATATTTTTCCTTTGCATTTACACAAGTGAAGATTGTGACCGGTTTATCCTGATCTATAGAGACCGGTAGTACATAAAAACAAGTCAATGTTTAAAGTAACTAAGTCTCTAACTCGATATCATCAAAAATCTTCGACATTGAAAACACGAATTATTTGTCAATTCAAATCAACATTGGTCTTGTGATCTTACAGGGAAAAGATGGGCTTCTGATATCCAATATTTAAGACAAAATAAACATTTTACCATTGGTACACGAATCGTGTACCATAATGCGTTTCAGCGCCATTTGGAACAAGGGACTCAAAGAACGAGGCTAGACATATTCCACAAGTCATGTCAAATGGTGACGCTATATTCTTATCTGGAGAGCATGCGCAATAAATACCATAGGTGTAGACTGGAATAACCAGACGCTAAAGATTGTCATTTAATTGAGATTTTGGCGCATTTCACCGAACATAACTGATTAGAAATTACAGTAAAACAGAAACGATTGAATATAAATCAATTTATATACATTCATATTACATTATTATGTTGCGACCCATTTGTGTCAATTTCTAGGTCCCAAATATTAGCGATTTACCTCCTTTAAACACTCTTTGCAAGAATAGCTTAGCCATAAAACATTTCTTAATTGAATTAATGAAAGTATACTGTTAGTTCAAATGTAAATTTAACGAAATTTGCAATTACATAATATTACCTTTCACAGACCAGAAAAGGTCGTAACTGAAGATATAGACAATCCTCACAATGTAATAACTTAAATTAACAGAGATATTCAAGTCGATAACAGAATAAATCAAGGGAAAATATATGTCACATTTATAACATGAATCACATATAAATATACTATTCTGTAATCACGGAAGACATGAACTGATATTACACATCGTTTCTTTATTTTATTAAATTTATTAATATTTGTAACATGGTATATGACTTTTAATATATTATATATTTAGTTTAATTGATGTTTTTTTTTTATATATATATTTTTTAATGGAGTCGCCTTGATATATGTGAATGACGTAATTACACGTGTCTCATAAAAATAGAATGAATCATTATAGTGCTGAAGTCGGTATGGTTAAAACATCTGAAGGTCTAATGAGGATATTTACTTTATAAATGAGAGTTGATGTACTTGAGACGAGTATTGTATTTTGTTTATCATCAGGTATCATTCTTAAATGGAAATCTTGGTGATGTTAAGGCAATATCTTTCTGGAGATATACCAGTAAACTAAATACCAAACAGTCGATATATTTATTGTAGGTACTGAAGAAGCTATGGTGTTCCAATATACAGATAATGAAAAAAAACCCAATACATATCAGTTTCTGAATGAAAAAACACCCTTACATGTATGCAAAAATTGAAAAACAAGTGGCCAATCTTGCATTGATATAGTGCAACATTTCAATCTAAAACCTGGTATTTGAATTCAAGAATACTCTAAATTCTGAAGAATTTCATTGATCTGTAGATTAACTGAAAGGAAAATATTATGTATTTTATAATTATCCTGTTCAAAAGTATAGTCCTGATTGCAAAAACATATTATTGATATTATTATACTTGCTTTGTGTAAAAGCTAAATCTTCTATAGTAGGTCTTTTTTTCTGACTTCAAATCTGATATAAATTCCTATTTAGACATTTATGACAAGATAAGCCCATAATCAGCTCTCTAGACAATCGGATGATCGAGCTTTTAATGGGTTTGTACACCGGTTAGATTACGATAATAAACAATCTGAGTGCCACTGTTTGTCGTGTATTTTGTACACGGTGAACAGTCCATATGCTGCTTACACTATTTTGCCTTATTACACTATTTTGCCTATACCGTTTTTTTAGGACTTCGAATTTTGTCTAATGGTTTGGATTGTTCGTACTTGGTTTTATTTTATTTTTATTTCAGTGTTCAATACTATTCACTTTTCATTATCTGTTTTTGAACTATTGTAGGTTTTTTTTTATATCCAAATCTTTCGTAATGCATCTTTAATGTTGTGGATGTTTTAGTTGTTATTTTGCTC